GCCTGCAAGAGAGGGGGGTACACAGGAAAAAAGCAGCAGAGGGGAGGGTGATGAGGCAGGGAAAGGGGGGAGGTTGCCAGGACGCAGCGAGGGTGATGCGAGAGACACATTTCATTGTGTAGCGCGAACGTGGCATCTGAACAGCACTGACGGGCGTTTCCTGTGCGACCGAAAACGCCTGTGCAAACGGCCGAGTGGCTTTCTTTGCAGTGATGAAGAGATGCGCGGGTGTGTAATCACGGGCGGCGGCTCACCATGTGGCTGGGCGTGCCCTGCGCCGACGACACGTGGCTGCTCTGCGCCTCCACCTGCACGGCCAGGCCAAAGTCGGCCACCTTGGGGTGATGTCATCGGCGGGAGGGGTGACGTCATCATTGACGGGGAGCGCCGTCATCAGTGCGAGCGACGTCAGGGGGATGGGGTTGGGTTGAAGGGCGGGGGTGTTGAGGTGTGAGGGGCTCTGGGTGGATCAGGAAGGGTCGAGCTTTCACACCATGCAAAAATAGTCCAGATAGGTTTGTAAGTGAGAAGTTGAGTCAAAACTGCGTGTCTGGGGCGGCGTTGGCTCGACGGGGTTCGGCCAGTGATTGGCTGCGGAGGGCAGAGGTACCTTTCGACGCCGCAAATGCAGAGGCAGGGTGTGATTGCAGGGGTGAGGGAGGGGCGAAGACGCACCTTTGCGATGGCGCCGCGCCCCGCGCTGCCGCGGCCGTCGCTCTTGAGCAGGATGTTGCGGCTCTTCAGGTCAGAGTGCACCACCTGGCGCGTAGAATATTGAAGGTGGTTTCAAACACGGTGGGGGAACTAGAAAGGGGGGGCGCGTCAGTTGCTCGAACGACGTGGGAGAGCCAAAAGTGGGCGTGCGGTGAGGGGGTAAGAGGGGACCGGGTCCCTAGGACCGCTGGGACCCGTCCGGCAGACGACTGTGCGTGCTCAAGGTCCATGCAGCTAAACCCCAAAGCCGCAGGTCCGCTAAACCCTGATATTCTGCTGGAATCCACCTGGTGCCGGTGCAGGTGCAGCAGGGCCCTGGCCACGTCGGCGGCGGTGTCCAGGATAGCCGCGTAATTCAAGGCGTTGTCGGCTGCAGGGCGGGGTGAGTGGGTGTACAGTTTGCAGGTTTTCATTGCGGGCTCCGGGCGGGGGCAGGGGTGTCGACAGGTTGGGGGGAGTCACAGCAAGGCAGCGGGTCGAGAAGCTGGCGAGCGCGGTCGCTTCGAGGGCGCCCCAACACCGGCTGCGGGGGCGGCTGCCGGCAGCAGCCCCTGGGCGGGCTCGGGGCCGGGGCCGAGGGGGCCGATCACCGGCGCGGCCTGGGCGCGTGCACATGTGTGTGCATGCGCCCGGGCTCACCTGTGAAGAAGGCGCCGGCATCCAAGGCGTCCCGCAGGCAGCCCTGAGGGTGGGGGCGGGTGGGCGGATGGCGGGAGGGTGCGTGTGACGAGGGAGGGGCCGATAAAAGGCCCAAAGCGCGGGCGCGGTGGGGCGGCGCGCGGCATGACGCCGCCGCTATCAGCGCCGGGGACGCGCGGGTACATCAGAGCGAGTTGGGCGGGCGTGGCCAGGGGTGAATCTGGCAGACGAGCATATGTTTGGTGGGGTTTGAGGTTACTTCACAGGAGGCAGCATGTGAAGAGGCGGCGGACCGCAGGTGGAGAGCGGGTGATGCAGGGGGGGGGGGGCTCACCCAGTCGCAGTACTCCAAAACGATGGAGACCTGTGTGTGTGTGTGTGTGTGTGTGTGTGTGCGTGTGGGGGAGAGTGTGTGTGGGCGCACGTGCGTGTGTGTGTGTGCGCGCGCGCGCACGCGCGCGTGTGTGTGTGTGAGGGGAGAGGGAGAGTGTGTGTGTGTGTGTGTGCGTGCGTGCATGCCACAAACATCACAGGCACACTGGGATGACGAGTGGGTGCGAAGCAATCATCCAAGCACCCAAGCACGCACATGCGCGCATCTGGACGTGCGCCAACGATAGTCAAGCATGCGACCCGCGCCCACCTCGAAGCTGTGTATGTGCTGGCTGCTGCTCAGCAGGCTCAGGGCACCCCCAGGGTCCCCCGGCCCCACCGGCCGCCCAGCCAGCCTGCGGGGCGAGAAGGCGGGGCGAGCGGCGGGGCGACACGTAAGGATGTATGGAGAGAGCGGGGAGGGAAGACACAAGGGGGCAGACCTCTGCGGCGCGCGAAGAAGTGGGAGCACAGGCTGCGGCCGCGGCGGGGAGGGGGTGAGGAAGGAGGGGGTGCGATGGGCGCACCCGGCGGATGGTATTGTCGTGCTGCTGGTGGCGGGCTTGATGGAGTACGTGAACGTCTGCGCGGTTAAGGCGATGGGCGTAAGGGTGGAGGAGCGGGCACGGGGGAGATTAGGAACAGGTCTTACGCTGGGGCGCAGCGCTGTGAACGTAGGCTTGAAAACTTGTGCGAACAAGTGGTGACCAGTCTAGCCTTGCATGCACAGCTGTCACCGCCGGTGGGATAAGAGTTCACCAGCTGCCGGACCTGGTCAACCCCTGGTCAAAGCGCCACCACCTGCCATTTCAAACCCAGCACGACCCCACCCCCACCACTGGTCAAACCCCGGTCAAATCCCGGTCAAACCCCAGTCAGACCTGCACTATGTTCGGGTGCTTCATGGCGCTGCTGATGGCGGCCTCCATGATGGCCATGCGCTCGCGCTTCTGGGCGCCGCTCATGTTGGCGGGCAGGACCATGCTCTTCACCGCCACAGTGCTGCCGCGCCACAGCCCTGCCCACACACATCACGCCATCAGCGTGAGAGGCCGCGCACACACACCGGGGGCGGGGGGGAGGGGGGTCGGAGGGTCAGCGCTGCGCTGCGGTGGGGCCAGGGTGCCGAGTTTGAGGGGAGGGGCGTGCGTGGCTGCATAAGCAGGTGTGTGAAGCAGGTGCGGGCGCGCACGCACAGTCAGCGGCGAAAGCATGTTGGCGGGAGGTTTGGAGGGTGGACCGAGCAGGACGGTGCCCGGCTCAGCTGGCAAGCCCCGCCGCGCCACAAAACCCCAAGGTCAGAACCCCCTGAACCCTGGAATTTGACCGCGACGTTGACCGGTTTGACCGCGTTGACCGGCCGCCCCACCTCTGTAGACCTTGCCGAATGCGCCCTCCCCCAGTAGCTCGAGCAGCCTCAGGTCGTTCACGGCGGCGTCTGGCGGCGCCGCGGTGCCGATGGCCCTCCGCATGTCCTCTATTTGGGCTGTGAGGCGCAGTGAGTGTGTGTGTGAGTGTATGAACGTGGTGTGAGTGTGTGTTGATTTTGCGTGTAAGTGCACGCACGCATGAGTGTGTGTGTGTGTGTGTGTGTGTGTGTGTGTGTGTGTGTGTGCAGGCGTGTGAGAAAGGGGGCTTGATGATGGGTGCATGCTGAGTGCGCAATGAGGGGCACCACACCGCTAACGCCGCGTGCACGACAACACAGTGCGCTCGCACAGGCGACAGCCCTCGCTGTCCCCTCCTAGCCCAAACGCCACCCAAAGGAGGAGTGCCGCACCCAGCGCCTTGAGCGGCCCGCTGTCAGCGATGTCGCTCCCGCTCCCAAGCCGAATCAGCTCCGCCGGCCAGGCCCCGCCTCCGCCCTCGCCTCCGCCCTCGCCTTCGCCGCCGCCGCGCCGCGCGCCCCCTCCTGCCCCGCCGCTGGCCGCGGCGGCGGTGCCGGTGGCGTCTGCGTTGCACTCAAGGGCGCATGACAGCAGGTTTAGCTGCCGCGCCAGCAGTACATCCGTCCGCTGCTTCTCCTCGGCCAGGGCCTCGTTTGCATCCTGCGGGAGCAGGAAAAGTAGGTGGTGGTGCATCGCCAGAAATAATACACCTGGATTGTCATTTGGCTCATGATCGGCTTATCTTTTGGGTTGGTTGCGTTGCAACTGTAAATTCGTTGGTGGCACGAGTGTGCTAGTGTGGCAGGGCGGCATGCGGAGCGCATGCACACGGGAGGCGAAGTTGTGTGGCGCGCGAGCGCGAGCGCGGCTGGACATCCATGGCAGCTCTGTGGCGCACAGGCAAAGTGCCATTCATTCCCCAGCTGCTCAGCATGCACGGAGCAAAGACGCCTTTTCAAAAGCACACGCGCACACGCACACGCACACGCACACACGCACGCTCACACACACACACACACACACACACACACACACACACACACACACACGCGCGCGTCTGCTTACACAAACACACACACACACACACACACTCACGCCTGCTTACACACGCATGTGCATACAAGCATACACACTCTCCCACACCGCACACGACACACATATACATTGCCCACCCCACACGCCCCTCACCCTCATCTCTGCCAGCAGCCACGCCTCCTCCCGCCTGCCGACCAGCACTGCGCACACCAGCAGCCCAGTCAGCACCGACGAAACCACAACCGCCGACACCATCGGCGCGCGCCACTCGGGCACCCATCCACGCGCAGGGTACACGCAGAGGGTCCAGTTGGCGCCCGGCTGGCGGACCGGGGCGCTGACGGACTGCGGGGGCGGGGGCGGCTCGGGGATGGTCTTGGCGAACTGATAGGTGGAGCCGCCGGGCTGTGGGGCGAACATTGAATACAGGTAGCCCTGGGGTGGGGATAGGGTGTGAAGGGGGTGGCATGGGGTGGGGTGGGGTGGAGAGTGCGTGAGGGCGGTGGGATGATGTGGGATGCGGCGCGGCGCCAAAGGGGAAGGGTCGTGGTGGGGCCGACGAAGTGAATCGAGGTGGGCGAGGCAGGTTAGCGTCGGAACGGGGTTGGTGGGACGGGATGGGCCCGGCGCGGCAGGCCGGCGGGAGCGGTCGCGGTGGGCGCGCGGCGGCGCGCGGGGCGCAGCGGGCCGGAGAGATCAGAGGGGAGGGGAGAGGAGAGGAGAGCAGGGGAGGTGGCAGGGCCGCGTCAAATTGACGCGATGAGCAGCACCCACGTTTTCGCGGAGGGTGGCCAGATGGGGGTCCCTGCCCTGCGCCATGGAGTCAAACTGGAACACGCCTGAGAGGGGGGG